ATCAGGCCTGATGGAGAGAAGAAGGCATATGTTCGACTGGCTCCTGATTATGATGCACTGCATGTTGCCAACAAAATTGGGATCATCTAAACTGAGTCCAGCTGGCTAATTCTAAATATATACTTTTTTCTCAGTAAAAAAAAAAAAAATAAAATAAAATGAGATAGGTGCCTGTAATCAATGACATTGTTCTACTTTCCAGAATTAAAGCTGGAATGACAGTAGCATAAGGAGCCCCACTTAACCCTTCTCTGCATGGATAGAGTTCCTCTGAGTTCAGGCCTCTATTGACCTGAACTATTAACATAGTGGAAGGTATAATCCACCAGGTCATTACTGTAGCCCTGATTACCTGAGGCCAAAACAGTTCACAGGGTCCTATTCACTCAAAGAGATGAGTTTTCTAGTTTTTCAGAACACATGGTCTTCAAGGATATCAGTCAGGCTAAATACCCACAAAATACTCCATGAACCCTGAAAGTATAATGAGAGAATCTGCCATCCACAAAACAAACATCAAGGCATTTTGTGTAACAGCTCATATATATGAATACTCTTTAAATGATAGTGAACTACATGTAGTTTATCACAGCAATGACACCAATGCCTTCTGGACTTTTCTGTGGGAGACTGAAGTTCTGAATCTAACTCCATTGTACCTGACTCTTCACAGGAGCCACATAGCTTCTCTCTCTTGTGCACAGATGAACGGGGCTTAGCAAGCACTTGTTACTGGAATGCACTTTCCTTTCTGTGCTCTGAGTTTTTTTTTTTTTTTTTTTTTTTTTTTTTTTTTTTTCAGAACTGGGGATTGAACTCAGGGCCTTGTACTTGCCAGGGAAGCACTTATTCCACTGAGCCATCTCCCCAACCCCTTCATACAGCAATTCTATGTTTACTTTCCTGAAAAACTGCCAAAGTATTTTTCTTTTTTAAAAATTATAGTTTCTTATTGGGAGAGAGACGGTATCTCATTTTGGTTTGCGTTGCCTTAATGACTAAGGCAACTGAGAATTTCCGTGGATTTATTGGCCATTTGTGTATTTTCTGACATTGTTACTATTGTTGTCTATTGAAGCTTTTTGTCTTTTAGAATTTTTGTTGTTGTTGAGTTGTATTTTTTTTAGCATTCTTTATAACTTGTAAATATTGAACTTTTATAAATGTACAGTGAGTATTTTCTTTCATTTTGTGGTTTTGTAGCCCTTCTCCCCCGCCAAGCTACTACTGCCTCAGCCCTTTTGTATTTTCTTGATTATGTCCTTTGATGCTCAAAAATTTTAAATTTTGATGAACTCTGATGTCCTGTTTTTGCATATTTTCTTTTGTTACTTGTGCTCTTGGTGTCATATCCAAGAGAATTCTTTTCTAAATCCAAGGTCATGAAGATTTCTTTCTGTCTTCTAAGATTTGTATAGTTTTAGTTTTAATATTTTACGCCAATATGACCACACTAGTTTTCTTTTTGTCTCTTGCTGAATTTAGAGGCCAGTGTTTAGTATGTTTGGTTTTTTTTTTTTTTTCTTTTTTTGAGATAGGGTCCCACTGTGCAGTTCAGGCTGGCCTTGAGCTCACTTTGTAGCCAGGCTGGTCTTGAACTTGCAACAGTCCTCCTACCTCAGCCTCCTGAGTGCTGAGATTACGAGCATGCGCCACCATGCCTTGCTTGTTTGATTTCTTTTGAAATTAAATGACCCTTTAAATTTAAATATCTTAAAATATAATACACTAACAATTACTTTTTTGGTATAATTATTTTAAATTAGCATAATAAGAACTTGACACACTTTATTCATAATATATTGCCTTTAAAATACAGAAATTATTCTTATAAGAATATGACAGTTTCCTATATTCTTTAAAGCACTGGGGAGGGAGGGCTGGGAAGTACGCTTTAGCAGTCCCTAGCCCAGTAGTGTAGAAGAGGAGATTGGTGGGGAGTGTAGAGAAGAGCACCAACAGGTAGATGACCACCATATGAACCAGAATGGCCATAACTCTGGGGGAAAATAAAAGTAGGAACATTTATCAACTTAATTTTTATCAACCTAATTTTGATAACTTTTATTGACTTAATTTTTATTCTTAAAATTTCCATGACTGAATTCTCTAAATCAGATTGTCTAGTTTCTCTGCCATGTCCAAGGCTAAACCACTAGCAGCTCTTGTTTAGGCTCCTCCTGCAGCCCCCCAGCTTGTGCCTCTGCTGCCCTTCCTGCCCTTCTGCAGAGTTGTGGGTAGGCACAGCGGTCAGATTGACCTGCTGACAGTGTAGTGAATTTGCAGTCCTCCCCGCTGCAGTGGCTCCCCATTGCACTCAGCATTGTGTCCTCCTGGGGTGCACCTATCCCAGTGTGATGACGTTCCTGATAGTAGCTTTCTGATCTCGTCTCTGCTCATTTTTCTGGTTGTAGCCACTTGGCTTTTTTTTTGCTGGTCTTCGAATATACCAAGGCAGTTCTCATCTCAGGCCTTTGTGTTTTCTCTGTGGTGTGTGTGGTGTTCTTCCTCTGCATCTGTGTGTGGCTGGTTTCCTCACTATATTCTTGTCCCTCACAGTATTTAAATCTCTCCCTCTCAGGGGCCTTCCTCAACCACCCTATCCTCTGGTCACTTTCTCTCCTTTTACCCCATCTTTACAGACACATAGACTACACAGATGCTGTGTTGTCACATGTTTTGCACTTACTGTATTGTCTCTTCTTCTGAGTTCCATGATTGCAAGTACTTTGTTATGCTCAACCTTTTTTTTTTTTAACCTGAAGCTTACTTACTTGGTAGATAGGAGTTACTCGTGGCATGGTTAAATGAGACTCAGGTTAAAAATTTATGAAAACACTTCCAGTCATCGAATCAAAGATTTATTAAATCAGTAACAGTGTAAGAAATAGACAACTGAGGCAATTAATATTTTAGTTTTCTTTCACTGTTCCTTGCACTTGAGAGACTTCAGGGTCACCATGGACTGTGAAATCCAGGCTGTTGAAAAGGTAACTTGGGGTTGGTGATATAACTCAGAGGAGTGCGCCTGCCTCACGAGGACAAGGCTCTGGATTCACTCTCTGGCACTAGGGGAAGTGAAGCTAATTTGTGTACTATTGGGGAAATCTCTATTTTCCAGTCTGTCTGCCTAAAAATCTAAAGGGTCATATGTGTTGGTGAACATGTGTGTGTTAATAAATACTATGAATATTTTAAGTAAAATTATTACAGTAAAAAACAAATTACCATTAACCCCCCAAGATACTCCCCTTGCTTAGAAAATGCTTACTTATGTCATAGTTCTTGCCACTTTTGAAGCAGTTCTGAAAGTTCCCTTTTTTCTTTTCTTTTTAATAGTTAACGCCTTGTGTTATTATCTGTAAAGTAGTTGATCAGTATACAAGATACAGGGTTAAAAAAATTCTCCAGGGGGAACTACCTGCTCGGGCCTCCCTCCTATCTCTCTCTCGGACAGGAGCTTTCTTTCTCTCAATAAATATATTCTGCTCATAAAAAAAAAATTCTCCAAATCATTTTAGTACAAACGTTTATTTTCTTTCTTTCTTTCTTTTTTCTTTTTTTTTTTTTTTTTTTTTACAAACCTTTGTTTTCAAGGAACTAAGAGAATCTATAACTGTCTTGCATTTGTTTTTCCTTTTCCCGTCCTTCCTTTCCCCTTTCCCCTATTATAGTTTCTTTTACCTTTTGAAC